CCCCGAGCCACATTAAAACTAACCCATTGTCTTCAGGTTGATTCCTACCCATAGTGACCCTGCGGACCCAGGTATGATGCATGGCCATGTAGGCCACTTGTGACCTCAAGGGGAGCATGGCAGCCCCATCTGTCGCTGTCTCTCCTGCCTCGTGATCTAGGCAGGTGTCCACTCTGGATGATGAGGAGACGGGGAGAAAGGTGCAGCATGATCCCTTATACTAATTTCACTGATCTTATTCATCAGATCAGTCAGCCTCTTAGGACTCCCGGCTCCACAGTCACACCAACTACCCAGCTCTCAAAGAACTTAGGCCTCGCTATTCCTTTGTGGGCTGGACTAGTGATCACAGGATTCCAATACAAAACCAAAGCTTCCTTGAAAAAGCACGAAAGGTGTGTAAGAGTTTTAAAGTCCGGTATTTGGCATAACTGCTGTCCAGGCAGGGCCTAAATTGAGAAGGAGACCTGGAATCCAGGTTCTCAGGGCTGGAGTCCCCCCTGCACAGAGTAAGGCCTCTGGCGAGGGCTTCCTAGGGACACACGGTGTTGGGGGGGGCCACAGTACTCACCTTTATTGGTTTCACTTTCTCTAATAAGGAATGAGCCAGCCTGATTGACTGGGGCCAGAAGCTGCCTCTCAGCATCTTTGCGACTAATTGATCTAAAGAACCACCTGGAAAAGGGAAAGGGCAGGCAGACATCACGTAATGACTGTGTCCAAACCTCCCTCTTAAGCTAGACCTTGACCCTCAAGAAATCAAACATGATGTTTCTATTCCCAAGTTAACCTTGAACTACCACTTCTCACATCTTAGCAAATCCTAGAACCCCCTGTAAGTCCATCAGCGTATGGATTTAATGTGTTCTTTAAAGAAAATGAGAATGTTAATTTGGGAAAACCTTTGTTAATTTTGCTTGGGGAAAGAAAGTAACTTATCATCCATCTTATAAGATGAAGTTCCAGTGACACTTGGTGTAGAGGTTCTCACTTTCCCCCCCATGAAATCCCCAAGCTGCATGGGATTCCTCAGAGTGGAGGTGTTCTCAGTCCCGGGAAGAACTTGCACTGGGGAACCAGGCAGCTCTGAGGGAGCTGATGGGAAATCCAGCCCCTGCTGGAGCCTCAAGGATTGTTTGCTGGCCACAGCGCCCACTGATGGCTCTCAAGCCATCCTGACAGAGTCCCTGGGTGGTGCTAACAAATGACATGCTTGGCTGCTAACCAGAAGGTTGGAGGTTCTCGTCCATCCAGAGGCATCTTGAAAGAAAGCCCTCGTGATCTATGGTCCAAACTGAGCCACTGAAACCCTGGAGCAGAGTTCAGCTCCGACACAGGGCCACCATGAGCCCCAGTCGATCCCTGGCTTCCTGTTTCACAAATGCCAAGAATAAGGTGGGGGATGGGCAGCAAGGGTCTCCTTCATAATCACAAAATGATTCAAACTCAAACCACAAAAACAAATGTAAAGGGAGCTCTGGTGGCCTAGTGGCAAGAAGCTGCACTGCAATCCCAGAGGTATGCGGTTTGAATCCACCAGATGCTCTGCTGGAGAAAGAGGGGCAGTCTCCTTCTATTCCAGTCAGATCCGACTTGATGGTACACACACAAAAATAATAAAATTTTAAAAAAAACTCCAACAACAAAAAACCTAAGGCAGGCAGTTCGACTCCACCAGCTGCTCCATGGAAAAAGATGGGCAGTCTCTTCCTATGTGACTTACTGCTTCTGAAAACCCAATGGAGGGTCAGCTATGAGTTGGTTCTTTCTCAACAGCACTTAACAACGACAACAACCGGCATCAAGCAGATTCCAATGTGCAGGGCACCCTGTAGGACAGAGCAGATGTGTCCTATAGAGTTTCTGAGGCTGTCAGTCTTTATGGAAGCAGACTGTCTCTTCTTTATCCCAGGAGGTACCTGGTGAGTTCGAACCACAGACTTTGCATTTAGCAGTGATGCTTAACTCACAGTGCCTCCAGGGCTCCTTGATTTAAATCCAGGAGGGGCCAGTCATATGGCACCAGTAAATAATGCTTTTCACATTAGTTTTGGTTCCCTGGCCCTTTTTTTTGCACCCTCCCCTGGGTTCCCAAGGCACACTTTTACACCCACTTTCCCCTCCACCCCGAGTGAGCGTAGCCTGCAGAGCAGAAGAAGTGACTGTTCTCCCTGTTTACAGGGACCCTTGAGGTTGTTCACCTACTTTTCCACTTCCAGGGTCTCTACTCGGGCAACAAAGTTGCTGGGCACATAGCCTTCTCTTCCAGTGACGAGTGATTTGGCCAGCCACCAGTCTCCAGTTCTAAAGGTGGGGGAGAGAAAAGCAAAAATAGGATAATAGCTCCCATGGGGCTTTGCTGGGACAGCTCACCACATGATCTCATCTCTGGGAGGCAGAGGATTCACGAGAACAGTCTGGCAGATACATGAGAAGGAACTCGTGCAAGTAGCTCATGGATGCAGTGACCACCTGGGTTATTTCTACTTTGCTGAGCGTCCACAGGCTGAAGGTACCCCTGGGCCAGGTCAGAAGAGGAGTGAGGCAGTCTTTCCTCCAGATAGTCTGTCTTCTGGTGAGTATGTCCTCCCTTTGATAAATGGAAGTTAGTTGCAGAGACTGTTTCAAAGTTAGTGAGTGTGTTGGAGCTGGCCTGGGAAAGATGAAAGCCGGAGGACCTGGGCAGCCCATGGGTGGTTCAAAGTCCAGAGAGTTAATGCTCTTGGCTCAGAGCCACTGCAGATCTTCAAAATCAAAATCAAGTCTTCAATGCTCTGAGGAACTAGGCCAGCATTGGAGATAAAGCAGACTTTGGTGGAGTTTCTGAGAAGGAACATGGGAAATAAGCTAAAGCTGGTTTCACACATTGATTCCTGTGTGAGACCTCAGTCCAGTGAGAGATATAAATACGAGCAGAGTGGATTCAAATGCAAGACTCTAATGGAGCAGCAAGCAAGTGCTAGAGGTGTCCATAGCACTTGAGATGTGGGAGATATGGGAGAGGTTCACAATGCCTGAGGGAGTCAGGAGGACTGCATGGAGGAGGTGACATCAGAGGTGGGTTTTGAAGGATAAATAGAATTTTAACAGTGATGCAAAAGGTCTTTCTTCTTGCTATCAAGTTGTCATTGACTCATAGTAGACTCTGCATTGGGTTTCTGAGGCTCTAAATGGCATGCGAGGAGATTGCTCATTTTTCTCCCAAGGAGTTGCTAGTAAATTTGAACCAGCCAAGAGGCTCTGCCCTTAGCTTTGTAGTGCAAATCGCTATGGATTATGCCATCAGCAGAAGGTAGTGAGAATGAAGATCATCTTGCCAAAAAAAAACATGGAAAAATACACTTGGAAGGAAGACAATGAAGTTTAAGAGAATACTGGATGACTGGGCTGTGGAAATGAACAATAAAAGAAAGAGTCAGCCAGGGAGGGAGACACGGATCAGGTGAAATTAAGTGGTGGGTGGAAGTCCTGCTGTAGACGCGACAGAGGCCTCTGACCAAGGGGAAGCATTCGGGAAACTTACTCCTTCAGGATCTGCAGCTTCTCTCCTTTCAGCATTTGCAGGTCCCGGTCATTCATTGCGTTGTAGTCATACAGCGCCACCACAAAATGCTCCTCTAGGATGCAAAAGGAAAGAGAGGCACCATGTGGATCGCGTGGAGTAAAGGCAGGGAGCGACTTGAGTCTGTTTGATGAACCACCATCTGGTTACTAGGAGGGTTAGGAACAAGCAGGGAGATAGGGGTAACCAGGTTGAACCTTCTCACTCACCAATGCTGATGAGGAAATCCCTGTCAGGCAGACAGACAAACCCTGCTCTCTGTTTCTCTGAGCCTACCTTGACTTCCTTTCTTAATTTCATTTACAAGTCATGAGCTTTGGTAGGACTGTGGTGTAAGGGAATTGACAGCCAGATCTAGAAAATCTAATTAGAAGACCTAACAGTTATTATGCCTCTGAAGGCTGCAGACTCACGTTTGGGAACACCAGTGCTGGCCGCTTCCTTGTCCTGCTCTTTCCCTTCTTTCTACTTCTGAGGCATATGAGTTTTCCTCTTCTCTTTTCTCTACCTGTCCTATCTATCTCTATCCCCTGTAATCTGACAACTTTATACCTAATCTTTCTATACAATGGGTGCCTGAAATCGTTGTTACAGGGCTGTCCAGCCTTATGACTTGCTTGATGCCTTTGAAGGGGTCAACTAGGTGTCGGGAGCAGTCTTTTCAAATGACTGGTGTTAATAAGGGAACTCTTCTGAACAGTTCTGGGGACCCAAAGGACCCACCAGGAAAAGGTTCCCTAGACATCATTTGACCTCCTTTGGAGCTTTGGCACTAAGGGGTGGTGTGACCCCAGGCTAGTCACCCCCCTTCTGTTTGAAAGAGGATGTTAGAATAGATATGATGGTCCTTCTGGTTCTAAGATTGATTTCTTGCTCCAAATGAAATGACCTTATTTTCTTACTCTGAGTTTCTTTTCTGGAGATGTGGAAAAAAGAGAAGGATTACCTGTGATGGAAAATAGTGATCCCAGCAGGATAAGAAAAAGCATGTGAAGTCTGTCTCTAAGGCGGTTTTGTGAACTCCCTTCCCAGATCCCGTGCTTTTTCTGAGAAGGAGACTTATCTTACCCATTTTTCTTTGCTTGTTTGTTTTTATTTATTTTTTAATTTTACCCATTTTTACACCTCCCTCAGATTTTGAGCAGAGTCAGGCATAAAGTACTCAGTGCATACTGAATGAGTGAATGAGTGAGTCTACCAGATGTCTGATCCCCTCAATCAGGGAAGGTGAGGTCTTTTATTGGGTCACCATCAGATTGGAAATAGAGTCTGGGCATGAAGGAAAGTATAATGTGGGTGGTTGGTGGCCTTCTGAAAGTGGGCTGGGAATGTGGAGAGGCCTTCCACATGGAACAGCTCTGGGGCTGGGAAGGAATGGCACTGTTGTTAATTCTAGACCTTTGAGGTTGGAAGTGAGAAGTTTTCATACTTGCCTTGATGATGTTTTTATCTCCTATGACTTTTTTGTGTGGGTTGTTTGTTTATTAGGTTTTTTTAAAAGGTTCTTTTTTTTCTAGTTGTAAAGTCTTTTTTCATCTTCCTAAATCCTCTCTAGGCTTTGTCAAACTGAAGGAAACTGTACTTGGTTTTAAGAGGACCCGAAGGGGCAGGTGGCACAGGGACAGAGCTGGGTCATGTGTTGAGCTTCTCCATCTCCAGCCTCCCCACACCCACTCTTCATTTTGTGACTATGAAGGACCTGCATGTCATTTTATCAGGGAAGACTGCTCCTAATTGTCCCCCTGTTCTGACTCCACAAAGCAGGACCTGGGTGTGTGGAACCATAGCTTCTCAGCCCACCTTTTTCTTACCTTGGTCTGGGTCTTTATCAGGAGGTGGAGGAGTAAGATGATTAAAGACAACCTTGAACAGAAACACATACATTCTGTGTTAGTTCAAAATTCTAGACACTGGACCATGTCAAATAAAATGAACCTACTGAGTATATCACCTAAATTTCCTCTGGAGATCTGGTCTGTCCAACAAAGGCAATGCTTACAAGCTGCATTGGTAAATTCTGCACACCTCACCCCCACCCTGAGACTGCCCACCATCTCTGCAATGACAACAGATATGATCAGAAGAAGACCATGTGGGATGCCCCAACTTGCAAGAGTACTTGGTGCTGTTAGATTAGAGAGTTTGTGAAAGGGGGAGGAAAGCCCAAGAATATGGGTTAAAATCTCTACCTACCATCAAAAGATAGAGTGGCAAAAGAGAACTTTTGAACATGGGCAGTCTTTAAAAAGCATATTTTCCTGTGTTTGTTGTTGTTAGTTAGCATTGAGTTGACTATGATACATAGTGACCCTACAAAAACCAGATCTAAACCTTGCTCTATCCTCATCATCCGATATGTTCAAGCCCATTTTACAGTTACTGTGTTGATCCATCTGTTGAGGGCTGAGTGTCTTCCTCTTTTTCGATGACTCTATCTTTTCGAGCACGATGTCTTTTCCTAAGAACTAGCTTCTCTTGTCAACATGCCCAAACTATGTGAGATGAAGTTTCACTATCTTTGACTAAGGAGTACCCTGTCTGTATTCCTCCAAGAAAGATTTTTTTGTTTTTACTATTTGTCTATGGGATGGATATTCAGTACTCTTCTTCAACACCACAACTCAAAGGCACTGATTCGTCTGTCATCTTTATTCAATGTACAAATTTGAGATGCGTAGAAAGTAATTGAAAATACTATGGCTTGGATCAAGCACATGTTCCAATGACATCGTTGCTCATTAGCATTTTGGAGATGTCCTTGACAGCAGTTTTTCCCAATGTAATATGTATGCCTTTTGTATCTTTACTGCTGTTACCATGGGTGTTGATTGTAGATCCAAGTAAAATGAAATCATTGACAATGTCACTTTTTTTTCCATCTATCAAAATGTTGCCTTTTGGTCTAGTGGTGAGCATTTTTGTTTTCTTGATGCTGACACACAATCTAAATTGAAAGCTATATTCTTTGATCTTCTTCAACAAGTGTTTCAAGTCCTCTTCACTTTTAGTAAGCAAGGTTATGTAATCTCCTGAATACAGGTTGTTGATAAGTCTTCCTCTTTCTAAACCTGATGCCATATTCTTCTTCATGTACTCCAGTTTCTTGAATGATTTGCTCAGCATACAGATTAAATAGGTATGAAGAAAGGATTCAACCCTGACACACTTTTTAAATTTTAAATGAGGCAGTCAGTATTCTCTTTCTCTGTTTGGACAAAAGCTTCTTGGTCTAAGTATAGGTTTCTCATGGGAACAAGAAATTATTCTGGGATTCCTGTTCTTTTCAATGTAAGCTATAATTTCTTATGGTCTACACAGTTTGGAGGAAAATTACCTGGCCAACTGGCTGGAAGAGATCCATATGTCTTCTCATTCACAGAAAAAAGGTGATCCTACAAAATGTAGTCATTATCAATATGTAGTCATTATCAATAACAATATGTTTGGCCTCACCTGCAGACTGAGGGCTATTGTGTTTTGAGTCGTTTTTATGCTGGAAGTTATGACGGCCTCTTGCATCTTGAGGAGGGAACTTGGGGCTTTTATGGCTTTCTTTTCGTCCCAAATCGGTGTTAGCAGATGGGACTTACCAGATGAACTGGTGGTCTCTGGCTAACAGTCCACCAGCATGTGGGCATGCTGGAATTTTTAAATGCTGTAGGGCCTGAGGGCTCGGCACACAACAACAGGGCCTGAGAGCTGGTTTTAATTGTTTTTAGTCAAACATTCTTCTTCTAGGTGATATAGCACTGGTCTGTCGATTTGCTATAACTTGTGGTTGCTGTGATGCTGAACACTGTGACTTTTATGTGCCAAATGCAATATTGGTCGCCCATGGTGGACAGTGTTTGGTGGAGCTTCCTAATTAAAACAAGCTTGAAACTAGGAGTGGCATCCACTTTCAAGAGCTTGCCTCTGGAAACCCTATGAACTCGGAGAAATGATGAAAGTTATACAAGTGTTCAGGTCTTTCATTCATAGGGTCACTATGAGTTGCCTACAACTTGACGACACTTAACAACAAAAACAACAACAACAACAACATCACTAATATCACAGGCAAGCAAAATCTTGCTGAAGATTAAAAAAAAATAAAAAAAATTACTGAACAGTAGATCGAGAACTGCCAGAGAAAAAACCAAACAAAACTGGATTTAGAAGAAGCCGAGGCACTAGAGATATCATTGCTGATGTTAGGTGGATCATGGCTGAAAGTGGACAGTACTGGAAGGATTTCTACTTCTGTTTTATCAACTATGCAAAGGTATTTGACTGTATGTATCATAACAAATTGTGGTTAATGCTGAGAAGAATGAATATCCAAGCTGATTTTGCTCATTTGAAACCTATACTTACATCAGGAAGCTGTTGTCTGAATAGGGGATACTGCATGTTTCAAAATCAAGAAAGGAGTGCATCAGGGATGTAGCTTTTCTCCATACCTTTTCAATCTATATGTGGAACAGGTCATTTGGTACATCTGGATTCTGGACAGAGTGCTAACAGTGTAAGTTTAAAGACCAATGTGTGCCTGATCCAGGCCATGGTCTTTTCAATTGCTTGTTATGTATCTGAGAACTGGACAATGATTAAGTATGACAGAAGAATTGATGCCTTTGTGTTGTGGTGCTAGAGAAGAGAATTGAAAAATACCAAAACCGCCAAGAAAGCAAATAGGTATATCCTAGAGAAGGTGAACCAGTTTGCTTATTGGAGGCAAGGATTTTGAAGCTCTGTCTCACATACTTTGGGCTTGTTGGTAGGAGAGAACAGTCCTTGGACATCATGCTTTAAGGGTAGAGGGTCAGCACAGGAGAGGAAGACCTTAGTTAAGCTGGATTGACACAGTGACTGTGGCAATGGGGTCAGGTATATCAGAAACAGGTTGGCTCAAGATTGGAGCTGTTGTTCATAGGTTCACTATGAGTGGTAGTCAACTTGACAGCACATAATAACAACAACACATAATCAAGATATAGTCAATAAAATACAATAAATATCTTTGTGGGAAACCAAATATTAAGTTAAATGTTAAACCAAATGCTTAATCAGGAATTAAAGGAAACACAAATACAAGCTGGAATTCCTCTTGTGACAAATCACAAGAAATGAGTTTCTTCCTGCAGACAAGAAGCAGCTAGGGCTGCCTGCAGAGGGAGTGTT